CGCACCTGACAACCGAGATGCCTATATAGGGTTTAGGGTTTTCAAAATTCGGGGCACCTTTAAAGCGGGATATAGGCGATTTCTAGAGCATGTAGGGGGCCATATAGGGTTTAGCGCTCTGGGTTTTTCCAAAATTAGGGTACCTTTTTCTGTAGTCTCCTTAGACCTACCTGTAATACAAATCATTAATTTCAATCCTTCCTTAGGATTATACTAGAGCAGAATTCTTATTTAAAAATCCCCAGGAGACTACAGTTTCGGGTGCCGATCTAATAAGGATTATAGCATTTTGGGGTTTATATTGGAGTCCCCCTATTTATGGAAACAACCTATTTACTCTTGACTATACTTGTAGAAGTCGGGTACAGTACAAACCAAGCGCCGCACTGCACGTTCAATCATCCAAGCTATGCACATCACGGATACCGGAGAGACGGTAAAGCGCCGGGCGTACCTTTGGCCAAACGTGATAGAATTGATATCACCGCTTCGAGACACACTGCGCTGTGCCTGGTCGCCATGCCCAAGCAATCCTGCAGCAATTCAAGCTGGTAGCTAGCGGTCTTTTGCTCTTCCGTTCTCATGTTCTGGCCAACACGCTGCCTCTCCCTACAGATTGCAAATGAGACGCTGCAGCAACGCTTACGCAAACTGTTATATTGGGGTTATATTTGGATTATGGAAAATCAAATGGAAACTACTATATAGTATCTTGGGGTTATACAGGGATAATGGAAAAGAAAATGGAAACTACTATAATGGGGTTATATAGGGTCTAGGGTTTGGGGATAATGGAAAAGAAAACTAAAACTACTATAGTGGGGTTATATAGGGTTTAGGGTTTGGGGATAATGCAAAAGAAAAAGGAAACTACTATAATAGGGTTATATAGGGTTTGCGGTCTAGGGCTTGGGGATAATGAAAAATAAAATGAACTACTATATTTACTTCCACTCAGACGCGGACACCATGCGCAACCCGGCGGCAAATCGTTTCATCGTCCGGCGCAGGGCACCGATACCTAGGAATGGCAGGCCCTTTGGGCTTGTATACTATCGTATACTAGAGTATATTATAGTATATTATAATATATTATAGTATATTCTAGTAAGCTATAATATACTATAGAATACTATAATAGATTATAGTTTACATTTACAGCTCATCTTGTTCATCTCTGGGCCGCACAGTCGTCGTGCACCCTCGACCTGAGGCTCTTAACATTCATGTCTCAGCACCTTGGGGCTTAGAGTAAAAAACCCTAAACCCTAAACCCCAAACCCTAAACCCCAAGCTCTAAACCCTAAACCCTAACCCAAACCCTAAACCCCAAGCTCTAAACCC